TTTAGATATAAGGAGCAGACGCAAAGTCAGTTGAAAATGTAGTAATCCATGCAACTTTCGAACAACTTTGATTGACTCTCAATCGAGACATTTCCACCCATGTGTTCCCTTTCCCATTTTCTTCGTGTTCCCATTTCGTTTCTGCTGTGACTATTTCGAGAAGCGCTTATCCTTATCCTCGCTTAAACCTTTGTGTTCACTTCAGCTCACGAGGGTTCATTGAAGAGGTCAAAGCGAGATAGTTGCGAGCGAAAATGAGCACACCATAGCACACAGCAGACAAAATGACGCCCTTTTGCCCTTCCATTAAGTCACGACTCTTCCCTCGTGACCGACATAAAGTGATTTTGGGATGCACATAGGGCTAAAAATATTTTCAGATACTCATGATGTGAAACAGTGGGAGTTTTAATTGTTTATGTACATTGGCAGAGGAATTATGTCTAGCGCGAAGTCTGGACGAAGAACGGCAACAGTAGTGACTCAGCAAAATATAGTAGTATGTATTTGCAAATCATTTGCAAGCAAGGAGCTTATTTCGGAAGTTTCCCAGCATATGATCCCCAGAATATTTATTCATGATATTACTTACTTGAGTTCAAATAAATGGCAATGTAATTTTAAGATAAGACATAAGTCACTATTGTCGCCATCAATTTTTACCTCCTCACCAATGTTTTTCAGAAAGCGCTTGGTCTCTAAAATCATATCATCATATTTTAATAAGTAAGAATGTGTGAAAAACCTCCATCAATTTTGCTTCGGAAGCTATTGTACTTCAACATTAGACTACGATAACATTCCCATAGAAAAAATCTCGTTCTCCCAATAATACGACCAATTTTCCGATAATAATGTGAACGACGCCTAAAAGTTCCGCTAAGAACCCCCCCCCCTCTTCCCCTCCTTCTCCTTCCAAGATTGCTCAATCAATTTTTCTTAACCAACCCTAGCCATTTCCGCAAGCGTGAGAAAAGATTTTTTTAGGGTGTAAGCGTGGGTAAACATAATGTAAAGATTTTACTTTATTTGTGAGTTCCTTTAAGCTTCTTACATACAAACCTAGATTTTCAAACCTTTCTGTTTACACAATAGGCCATACGCACTTGGACAAGCATTGAGATTTGTTTTTCCTAACAAGGGAAGCATGTTTAGTCGAAGTGGTCTTTTCAGATGGTTTATAAATAATAGTGAAGAACACAAGGCGCTGTCCCAAATCTGCTTTCTTTATCTGCGGAACGTTTGTGAACGAGGAGTTATGAGATTTCGTTGTAACAAAAATAAAAAGTGTATTAAGGGTAAAATGAGTTGCATCCTTACTAGCCCTCAAAGAAAGCAACCAGGAGTGATATATTTTATTGGTTTAGAGCTTCAAAGGATAAAGTGCTCCGTTGATTATCACTGCTCCACCACAGAGCTAAAAAGAGAGTATTACAAATATTTTTGTCCTACTTGCATATTCAATTTTTGCTTCAATAAACGTTCATGACTCTTCGTCCATAAACGTTTCGCAGATTTAAAAGGCAGATTTTGAATCAGCGTTTTATGCCCTAGAGTATGGTATACATCTTATCTTAAAAGGCTACTTGGATTGAACATGGTTCCCTTGTAAGCAGATTGGGAAAAACTTATATCTAATTATTTTATGTAGGTCTTATGCGTATAAAGAAAGAGATGAGAAGTTGACAAATCTTGGACCAGCCCCACTAGAAGTATAGAGTTCTGCCAATCTCTTCACCTTCCTAATTCTCCACAACAGTTGTTCTCGCGCTTCAGAAAATTGAACCCACTCACGCCTATGACCCACATTTTTCCTACGGACTTTACGGCAGTAACAAAAAATAGTTACCCTCTCAGGTGATAAGGATCCCTTTCAACTAAAAACCTTTCTGGAGATGCATTGGCCATCTGGCCTATCGGCTTCTACAAAGGGCTTTTACTATTGCGTTCTTCCGATCCACTCACACAGCTCATTTCTCAGCGCGTTTATGAGCTTCCACTTGTACGATGCAAAAGAATAGCAGCTATTTAACATTACAACTTCGTCGGAGTTCAGGGAGACAAACTAATGATGGCAAAGAAATCGTAAAGAGTACGATGCGAAAAGAAGCACATGCTCTGCAAGATTGCAATATTATATGTGATCGGTTCTGATGTAGGGATGGCTGCAGAAACTATATTTTTTCGGATTTAGCGAGGAATCCGCAATTTCTGAGGCTAACAAATGATAGCCGAATTTTTGACTTAGTTTAGAATAACGCTTAATTCTTCTGCAGGTGATGCTCACTAGATGATTAGAGATTTTTTTCTGCAAGAGTTCAGTGAGGATGATGAAATCGCTGTATTATCCGATAACATAACAGCGGGAATATACTGATCTATGACCAGCACTCGGCACGAGAAGGCTTTTGGAAAATGCAAAAAACGAAGTCTCGGTTAACTTTTGAATTTTTACGAGATTCCTAAACGTTAAAAAAACCCTCAAAAAGGAAACATCGAAAAAAACTCACAATTTTTGTGTCTTTTCGGCCTCAGAAACGATACCCCCTTTGCTTTTTGTTTCAAAAACGATGTCTAATTTGCTTAAAAGCCTCCAGTACCAAGCCCTGTCCATGGTTGAGGCACAGAAAAGTGGAGAAATACGATAAGCTAAGCTATAAGCTATAAGCTTGGAGACAAAGTGACTAAGAGTTTTGTATTTTTTTACTCTGATGTCCATGATCCGGATATGCAAAAAATTGTCAAAAGTGTTTTTAGAGTAGTATTATTTTTGGTGTGAAATAGGTGAAGGAATATGACGCAAGGCTTTGGTCTCGGCTACTAGAGTTGACAAAGATCAATTTATCTACTGGCTAGTTCATTATTTTAGTTTGTTTTCTAGCCAATTGCCCTCCCACGTATGTCCCGACTTTTTTTGCCAGAGAACGTCTTCCGGGACTGGATGCATACGACAAGCAAATATGAATTAGTAAACAAACAAAATGGACGCTTGTTTTTTTTGCGGGAAGCGATTCTAAGTGCTGTGTATATTGAGGATCTGCTCTTTTGCTTAAGCCGTGGAAGATTCTCGACTTGTAGTAAACCAAATGAAGTTTTATGTATTCGCTAGGAGTTTACTTATCTCTGATGTGAATTGAACTGTGATCAAAATTTGAGCTTCTGCAAATGCAGGATCCAGTTAAGTACACTGAAATGCTACCGTTAAACAAACAAATCACATGAGACAAACACATCTGCGCAATTCTCCTATCAACGCATAAATCGTTAATCACTTCTGCTATAAGTTTTTCCTCTCTCTTGGTTAATGCAGTGATTATTCGAACTAAAAAGAACCTATGTGCCGCCGAAAGTTTCTTTTCAGGTTTTGTGAACACACGTGTCTCATCCGGATCAAATAGAATGCAGCGTAGGGGCTGCAAAAGTCACGCAAGAGGGTTTGGCACGTAGCTAACCCGAAAAATTCGAATCGAGAAATTATCTCTTGAGAGAGCTCAACCGCTGCATTCCTCAGTTGAGAGGAAAACCGACATAATAGAACAATTTCAGAGCCAGGAGACAGTGAAAAACGACCAATGTGAAGGGCATGGTTAGTAAGAAGGCACTCCAGGCATTCGAGGAAGGACTGAAAGCTGGTATACGCTTTACAATCCTTCAATAAATAAGTTCGCAGTGGTTTAAAAGGGCTAGCGTACAGAACCATAGCTGAGCCTCCTACACTTGTATTACATTTCAGTCACACAAGTCGGTTCTTGAACAAAATTGTGCAGAAACTAATTTCGCGCGGTCCGCACATTGCTTAATTGATAAAGGAATTTTTCAGAAGCTTGGTGTCCTTCGCATAAAATTATTAAAATATGATTTTTAGGCAATATCTGGGAGCATCACAGCAACCTTCCAGCAGGATTTTGGTAAACGCATAAAGCTGACTTCAAAAAAAAACTGCTGGTTACAGGCAAGTGTTTCATTGAGGGCTACTTCATGACTTTGAAGAGCATAAAGTGTTTTTAAAGCAATCTTAATGAGCTTAAAGCTCGAAGAAGATGTATCCAAATTTTTCAGACAATAACTAGAGTATGGCCGAAGAAACTTAAATGTATAAACGTAATAACGGAGATTTGCGTCTAAGTAAATGAAGTGTCTCAATATTACTCTCCTAATCTTATATCTCGAAATAGATTTCCTAAAATGCAGCAGAAAAGACTTCTTTGTGTAAGTAACCTTTTAGATTTTTCAAAATGCTTGAGTTTCAATAAAAAAGAATTAAATAAATGATCCATGGACGGGAACGCACTGACCCTGCCAGAAGCCAAATAATGCTTCAGTCACTCCCGAATTAGCATTAAGCGCTCACGAAGCTGCGCTCAGCGAGACCAAACCCGTCAGCAGCCGAACCTGGTCGCTGAGTCTTCGATTGTACGAAGCTCATGCAATGCGTGAAATGGATTTTTTTGCTCAGCTTTCTGACTCACGAAACTTGCTCGCTTCCCGGATCTTTGCGAAAGTTGTTGAGGAAATTGACGGGAATCCGTCGCCTCTCAATTTTATTTGTTTATGAGATGTCCTGCATACACAAAGCGACCGCCTGCGCGGAAGTGGAATTCGTAAATCTTGACTGTCCAGCTACGCCCCTCAAACTTGTGATTGTCAATCTGGTAAGAAGCTGAGCAGGCGGTAGTCAAGTTGGAGAACCTTGTTAATTTTGGACTAATTTCCGCTTCCGAGGGTCATTTGGATATCGTAAGTAACGAGTAAGTAACGGCACCCACCTGTATCGCAGTCCATGGCTGTAGTGGCTGGTCCCGCCTTCGTCGACGCCACCGCGATGGCGGTGACCCGCGGGGTCAGGGCGACAACGGGCGGTGCCACGCGCTTGTTTGCGTCTCGAGCTCACGTCGCAACCGGTCGTACGCGAAGGCGGACGAGTCGTTTATAAGCAGCCAGGGCGCGAGCAGCTGAGTTGCAGTGCTTGTTCTCATCACATCGTCAATTCGCATCACATTATGTGCGGTATTTGGGCAGTGATCGGTGAACAGCCGACCGCCTTCCATCATGAACAGTTCATGCGAATTGTTGGACGTGGTCCAGACCTTACTGTGGTGGAACAGGTTCAACCTGAAGTTTATCTTGGATTCCATCGACTGGCTATTGTTATGGTGAGTGCCCTCGTCTTACTGTATGCCCCTTCTGTGCCATTTCGCTGCTCCGTTTGTCATGACGTACTTGTAAAGATATCCGCAAATATGTCTATGTTTGCTCCACTCGCAAGCTGGCAACCCCAGACAAAAGATTTCTCTTCCGCATTTTTTTGCAGAATTTTGAGCCGCTTGCAACCATCTCGGACTCACTTCATTTCAATTTTTTTTTAGAAAAGTTGCTGGTAACTGCTGATCACAAAGTTGTCATGCCTTGGTAATTCAAATACTCTGATAATGTGAATCATTTGTGAATCAATATGTTCTTTGATTAAAGAGATTTTGCAGCCAATTTTTCTTCACCTCATATATTTCAAATAATTGGAAATCATTTTCATGAATCACGCTTTGAGTTATTCTAGCCTGGGGACATTCCCAGTGAGCAGCCTATTGTTGGAAATGGTTTAGCTGTTGTGTGCAATGGAGAAATTTATAACCACAAAACCATCAAGGTATCCACATAATGATAAAAGGTTAGAAAGAATAACACAGCTCATTCAGGTGACATCAAATCTACAATTAAAAAATGACGGAAGCGACTGTGCTGCAATCATTCATGCTTTTGTAAACTCAGGTACTTCCAAGCCTGAAATATAAAGCTTTATAAAATAATTCGAGCACTTAAGGCTACGATCTCCGCGAAGCCTGTGCTAGCCTAGACGGAGTGTTCGCATTTGTTATGGCTGATGCGAACAACATTTACATTGGACGCGATCCACTTGGGGTTCGACCATTGTTCTACGGCGTCTCCGGATCAGGTATTTCCAACTTAGATAACTTCATTCCCCAAGAAGAATGAATTCCTTACCTTATGAGCAACGGGTCCAAAGAACCAACATGTATAGCCCTTCTTCATGTAATCCAAAAGTACAGAAGGTTTAAACAAAAATTACATTGGGATTCCAATCTATTCAAACACGTAAGTCAGAGTGTAGCCTACATAATCCTGCTGTCCTTTCTCCGGCTTTCTTTCAAATAATCAAATTTGTAAACATAATTTCCAACTTCGTAGTGCCTGCCTATTTCCTTTATTCGAGAAGGTGTCAACATATAGTATTTCACGCCATTATTCCTAGTTTTAAGTCCTGCCCTAAATATTTGAAGTTTTCTTTGAGTCTTGAACTAAGACTTTATATACGCAAAAACCGTGAAATCCAAAAGTTTCCCAATTGAACATTTACGCACTTTTTATGCGGTAAAGATCAAAGACGTACTAGTCCAATAATGCTCAATGGTTCCACTGATGTTAACCATTTAGGAGCTCTCGTAATTGGCTCGGAAGTGAAATGTACTGAACAGCTGTGCGACAGAATTGACTATTTTCCTCCGGGCTGTTGTGCTGTTGTACCAATTCGTAATCGCGCAAGGTATCTTACCTTTACTCATGCGTTTGACCTTTAATCCGCCCTATTGTTTTCAGATCCCTCGCTGTTCAAAAATACTATTCAATACCATGTGTCGCGGATCGCTTTCTTACGATGCCACATGCCCAAGTGAGCCTTTATAAATGGCTAAAAGTTCTAAAAGTAATGAAAATCTTACCTACAGGCGATGATCAGAGAAATCCTCATAGCAGCCGTAGAAAAACGCTTAATGGGCAACAGACAATTTGGCTTCATGCTTTCTGGAGGACTTGATTCTTCTTTGATTGCTTCAATTGCCACAAAGTTCTTAAAACAGGTAGATTTTTTTATTTGCCTAACTCGATGGGTATCATTATGTGAGAAACCAACACTGAAATTATTTGAGAAACCAGTTGCATTCTCAGTCGGATTTGAAGACTCACCAGATTTGGAAAATGCCAGAAGAGTAGCTGAATTTCTAGACATACCTCATGAAGTTCTGGTCATCACACCTCAGGAATGTCTTGACGTTGTACCCGGTTAGTACTCACACCACGGCTTTATTGAATTCTAACGAAAATGAGCATTTTTGCAGATGTGATCTATGCTTTGGAAACTTTCGACCCACTAGTGATTCGTTGTGGCATTCCTCACTATCTCCTCTGCAAACACATCGCCAAAACATCCGACGTCAAGGTGCTTCTATCAGGTGGGTGCTGTTTTGCAGCCAGTTACGCTTCGGTCCAGTTTTCAACTTCCACGCTTAAGTTTGCGGACAGAGCTTCAGTGGCTACTAAGACAGAGCGGATGTTTGCGCTCACGCAATCAGCGAAATCACCTGCACAACTAGCACTGCATAACGCTGATGTGAGGCAGTGGATAAGCTCGTTGAGCAAAGCGCACATCAGAAGATTAAATAAGAACGGTGCCAGTTTTCTTCGCGTGTGTGTGAGCACAGTGACGGTCTCCGGCGGCGCGCAAGAATTTGCGAAGGCACGATGCGCTCTATTTTCCTTCAGTTTTTCTTGAAGTTGCAACCACAAGTAGTTAGCCAAATAGTATCGCAGACACTCTGGCATCGGAGACGTTTGCTCTGGTATGACGCACATAATACCTTGCAAAGAGGACATTTCAACAATATGACTGCGGTTTCTGCGGACTTGCGCGTGATGTATCTGGAAATTTTTATGCTTATGAATTGTTGGCACTGGAAATGTGGCAATGTAGGCAAATTTTGAGCAACCGTAGAATTATACAGCCCACCAAATCTAAAATTAAAAAGAATTTACTCCCCAAAGTTGATTTCTCTATTTCTAATAACAGAAAGGACTCTCTTTCAAAGGAAGTCATGGATATTTTTTTACAGTTGAGATTTGAAATGGACTTCAGTGCTTGCGTTTCAGGGATTTTTTTCATTCTGAACCTCACCGCGCCGAAAAACACTAAAAAGGTTGAGTTGACCACATAAGCAAATAGACCGCAGGTTTTCAAGAGAGATTTCGAAATAGTTTTTTGACTGCATGGATTTCTCACATAAAAGCCTATCAGATATTTTGAAGTGACATTGCTTTAATACTCTTTGATCCTTGTGCTCTTCAAATGTTACGCTCTCCATTCTAAAAGTCCGAATTTTGTGCGTAAAAAAGAAACAGCCGTATACTTTTTGTAATCTTCAGTGGTGTTGCTTTTTAGTAAAAATTTTCGTTGGGAGGTAAATAATGGAGATTCAACTAGTGGGGGACAAAAATGGTGTCTTCAAAGAATCAGCAATTCGGCGCTTCTCAAAATAAAGTATCCAAACAAAGCCGCACTAATCACAAAGAGGACAGCAAGCGGAGAAAGCTTAGGGAGTTGCTCAATTGTGTGGCTTGGAAACGCCTGGTATACAGCGACAACAAGTTCAAGGCTTAGAATTTGAGACTCTTATGTGGTCGCAGTAAACTTCAGTACTATGGGTTACCAGAGCAGCACCCATTTCTTGCAAGAGATTGCAGGTGTTCGCTCTGCTTGGAGCGCGCTTTCTCTCTGCAAAACAATTTATGCATGCGGGCCTAATATTTGGGCATCTCGCAATTTCTTATATGATGCGATGCTTAACATTGAGATGCTTATTTCTAACCTGATTTTACCTGCTTAATTTTCCTGTAGCTCCACAAAGGTGTCATCAGAAAGTTAGTTGTCAATTTTGCCTCGATATTTTGATAGCAATATCCTGGTTGTCTAACAAATAATATCCGAAACTCAATACCTACATGTATACGCAAATACACTCTGACACGTCCTCGCGATAACTTCTTCTTTAAAAGGCAGTCTCGGCAGAATTTCCTTTTCCAGTTTTTTGGCTTTTCAAAGACCTTTCACCATAAGGCTGCGTTCATACTGATCCCGAAGTTTGGGAACAGTCCCAGCACAGCGCTCATTTCAAACGCTGTGCTGGAACTGTTCCCGGATTCCGCGTCAGTGTGAACGCAGCCTAGGGAACCCATATCTAGGTTTTTTAGCGCATTAAAATGGCGAAAATGAGCTTTTTCTCCAGGTTCTCAGTCAGTGGAGAATAGGCACAAGTGGGCGGGGCCGGAAAGAATTCCGGCGTTCTTCACTGAGCGGACCTGAAAAGCTTCGGAAAAAGCTCATTTTCGCCACTTTCAGCGCTGTAAAGCTCAGATATGATTCCTCATGGTGAGACTCCGCAAAGGTGAAAAATTGGAAAACAAAATGCCGAGGCACTGGCTTTACGGGCCGGGCATCATCATCAAGATCTGGTGAATCTTTGACAGTATCAAATTAAGGGAAGCCCCGTAGACATCGGTGGCATGACAAAGCCCCTCGTATCTGGTCACTTATAGTTGTAACTTGCAGCGAGTGTTCGTATTTATGAATGGATTCAATCTAGGGGGTGATGGTTGTGTAAAGGGCCAGGCATACATCATGGAATTTCATCGCCTCTCGATTCACCCTAAAGAATCAATTACGATTCCACTGCATGTCAATCGTCTTGCATTTCGATTGTGGCAGTTTCAACACGTTTAATCGAGACTGAGTATCACAACCGAATTGCAAGGTGATCGGCATGCAGTGAATTCGTAACAGTTCTCTTGTTGGGAGAATGGCGAGGCGATGTATGCCTGGCCCTTTATCCAATCATTACAGACCCCCTAGATCAAATCCATTTATGATACGAACACTAGCCGCAAGTTGCAACTATTGGGTTGGCTCGAAAGCTCTGGGACATTTTCGAACTAGATCTGTTATTTTTCGAAACCTAATGCTTGTACATACGATACAGGTACCATTCGATAGAGCAAAGCAAGCTCTACAAGTTATGCAAAAGTTCGCACCAGCCTCGACCCATCGTAAGTTTACATCCAGAATCTGAGTCGTACTGAAGGCTCGAAACTGGAAAAAAGTCATACCTTTTTCAAAAAAAAAATCCTACGGATCTCCAAATTGCTCACGCAAACTCACACAACATCAGACACTAATATGTACCGTTCCTGTATTTTTTCTCATCTAGAAATCAAGAAAACGAAAATTTTCGTACTTCGTCCAGAATTCGAGTAAATTCTAATTGTAAGTAACGAAAATTTTCATGCTTATATGGAAACGAAGCTGTACTGTTTCCACCTATGTAGTTGTATACTGCAAGCCCTTAGAAGTATAACCGTAAATTAAGCTTTCTGCAAGCCTCAGTTTTCGAAAACATTGATTTTAGCATGAAACACTTGAGTGAGGAGAGCTCATTTCGGTAATTTTTGGAAACTCAAACCCGTAGAAAGCTGAAAATTTACGGTCGTACTTCTCTGAGAGCTTGTACTAACTATTACATGAGTGAAAACAGCGTAGCTTCGTTTTCGTATAATCATGAGACTTTCGTTTTCTCGATTTCTAGATGAGGAGAAAATACAGGAACGTTACATATGAGTGTTTGATGTAGCGTGCAAATTGTGTAAGCACTTTGGAGACCCGTAGAATTTTTTCCAAATAAAGATATGACTTCTTCCCAATTTTTCGAGCCTTACGACTCAGATTCTGGACGCAAACTTACGATGGATAGAAATGGTGCTAACTTTTACATAAGATTTTGTAATGCTTGCTTTGCTCTATCGAATGGTATCTCTATAGGATGTACATGTATTAGGTTTCGAGAAATAACAGATCTAGTCTGAAAATGTCCGAGAACTTTCGAGACAACTCAATATAAGTGACCAGATACGAGGGCGCTTTGTCATGCCACCGATGTCTACGAGGCTTAGCTCAATCTAATTCCGTCAAGGATTCACCAAATCTTATTTTAAGACGCTGAGTATTTCGTGTTGCCGGGCCAATCTCGATCTCGCTGCTTCTCTTTGCCACTCAAAACAGTGCTCGAAATTTGCTCGGCCAACTCTTCATGTTCATCTACCGCCTAACAGCT